TTGATATAGAGTCTCACAAAGTTGCTCAGGTTGACCTAGAACTTGTGATCCTCCTGCCTCAGCTTCCCAAGTAGCAGGGATTATAGAAGTGAGGCACTGCGTATGGCTGCCAGCCTATGGCCTAGGCTGGTCTTGAACTTTCAAACTCAAGAGAAATTCCTGCCTCAGCCTCCCAATTAGCTGGGAATGCAGACATGCTCCACCAAATCCACTGTTCTGAAAAATTTTTTTCCCCATTATATGGCTAATGTTTTTAACCGAACTACCCCCACGTTTTCTTGTCTGGCAAGACAAGAAACCAGCTGTTTTACTTAGAGACTTCAGACTCATCTAAGTAAATTTAATTTAAATGTAGTATTTAAAGATAACTGTGATTGGATAATATAGAGTGATAATTTCTCCAGTTTCTACCTTTTTGAAATTGTTTTCTAAAAAGTGTTAGATTGTTATATCTCATGATTTTAGTTTTGAAGAACACCAATAAAAGACTATTGTGGAAAATACTTCAGAGTAAACTACAATGATTTCATTAAATTTTAGGTTTACTCACCCCACATTCATAACACTTAGATTTATCAAAGTAGTTTCGCCTCCTGATGAACTCTGCTGCTCTTCCATTGTCAATAGCAATGCTTGCCTTTATCACTCTACCAAACAACTAAACAGACAAAAATGTAAATGCAGAAGGATGTATTTCACAGAAACCTAAACTAGTTATTTGATCTTATTTCTTTGAATCTTCAATTCCATTTATATTTTGGATGATTTTAGCAATTGCTCTACTTTGATTGATGAAGTCTACCCTATGGTATTTTTCTTAGATTCTACCAATGTTTTGGGAGCCCAGTATATCTTTGTCATCCCCATTAGATGCTCTCTGAATCTGTGGATACTCATTAACTATATTTCCCCATATTTTTTGGGTTACAAACCTTGGTGAGAATGTTTGGCTTACCTGTTTGTTGTTTATTGCCCTTGTGCAGTTTTGTGCAGAGTCTTTATCCAAAAATAAAATAAATGCAACCCCTTTACTTTTCCTGGTATCTTTGTCTTTCATTATAGTAACCCTTAAAGCATAAACAAAGAGCCAGTTAAAAACGAGGCAACAATAAATTTAAAAAATACGAATATTTAGAAAACTCGAATTTTAAAAAATGGTTATGTAATAAAACATTTACAAAGTAAGAGAAATCAATACATTTATAAAACCAGCTATCTCTTCAAAGTCAGGGGTATCAAGAATGGAAATGACAAAGTGAAAATGACTTATAAGTGAGCACAGATTTGTGAGTTAGTCTTTGTGTCCTCTATTCTGTACCAATGGTCTACCAATCTGTTTTGGTGCCAATACCATGCTGTTTTTGTTACTATTGCTCTGTAGTATAGTTTAAGGTGTGGTATGGTGATGCCACCTGCTTTACTCTTCCTGCTAAGGATTGCTTTAGCTCTTCTGGGTTTCTTATTTTTCCAGATGATTGCTTTTTCTATTTCTATGAGAACCTGAAGAGACACTTCTCAAAAGATGATGTACAACCAATCAACAAATACATGAAAAAATGTTCATCATCACTAGCAATTAGAGAAATGCAAATTAAAAGCAATCTAAGATTTCATCTCACTCTGCTCAGAATGGCAGCTATTATACATACAAACAACAATAAGTGTTGGCGAGGACAAGGGGGAAAAAGTACACTTGAACACTGCTTATGGGACTGCAAATTGGTGCAGCCAATATGGAAAGCAGTATAAACATTTCTTGGAAAATTGGGAATGAAACCACTATTTAACCTAGCTGTCCCTCTCCTTCATCTATACCCAAAGGACTCAAAAACTACATACTAAAGGGACACAGCCATATCAATGTTTATAGCAACACAATTCACAATAGTTAAACTGTGGAACCAACCTAGATGCCCTTCATTAGATTAATGGATAAAAAAATGTGGCATGTATACACAATGGAATAATACTTAGTAATAAAAAGAATAAAATCATGGCATTTTCAAGTAAATGGATGGAGTTAGAGAAGATAATGCTAAGTGAAGTTAGCCAATCCCAAAATACCAAATGCTGAATGTTTTCTCTGATATAAGGAGGCTGGTTCATAGTCGGGTAGGGAGAGAGTGCATGGGAGGAACAGACGAACTCTAGATGGGGCAGAGGGGCTGGAGGGAAAGGGAGGGGGGCATGGGATTATTAATGATGGTGGAATGTGATGATCTTTACTATCCAAAGTACATGTATGAAGACATGAATTGGTATGAATATACTATGTATACAACCAGAGATATGAAAAATTGTGCTCTATATATGTAATAAGAATTTTAATGCATTCTGCTGTCATATATAAATTAAAAAATTTACATAAAAAAGATTGGTTTCCATAAATTTGTTTTCGTTACTTTTGTGACTGAGAATAAAATCAACCTGATCTAGAACAAAGAGAATTACATTTGTTTGGGGCTAGGTAGGATTATAATCCAGAAAAAAACAGATTCAAGCAGTCTTGAAAATGTGCTACAAGGTTTTACAAAGTGGCAGCTAAATTTTTAGCTTTTCTACAAAGGGTTTGGAAATTACATCACTTGTTATGAATTATGATCAGTGAGGGCAGAAGTTCAGCTGTTTTGCAAGAAAGGAACTGGGTGCAGTTTCAGTCTCTGGGTAGTTTTGGGGAAAAGGTCCCTTTATAGAAAGCAGTCAGTAATGTTTAACAAAAAAGGTCAGCTCTCACGGGGCATGAAGGTGGATCTGCTTGTAGCCCATTTCAAAGGTTCAGCTGCAAAGCTGTCTGAGATCTGATTAACAATGATCTTCTGACTCCATCTGAAGTACCCTGAGCCAATGCTACTCGATTTTGTTTTGTTCCTTTGCAACTCTGATCCAAATCTCTTTTTTTTTTTTTTAAAGAGAGAGAGAGAGAGGAGAGAGAGGAGAGAGAGAGAATTTTTAATATTTATTTTTTAGTTCTCGGCGGACACAACATCTTTTGTTGGTATGTGGTGCTGAGGATCGAACCCGGGCGGCACGCATGCCAGGCGAGCACGCTACCGCTTGAGCCACATCCCCAGCCCCTCTAATCCAAATCTCTATACTGAAGCCAAAATAAACTTTTAAAAAGTTTTAGAAGCCATACTGGGTGTAGTGACACCTTCCTATAATTCCAGCAACATTGGGCTCTGAGGCAAGAGGATTATAAATTTGAGGCCAGCCTTAGCAGTTTAACAAGACCCTGCTCAAAATGAAAAAATACAACCGAAAAAGGGAAAAGAAATAAAAAGAAAAAATAAAATTTGGGCAGCCAGGGATGTAGTAGCTCAATAGTAAAGCACATGGCCCTGGGTTTAATCCTCAGTATCATCCTTCCCTCAAAAAATGGAGAAAAAAAAAAAGAGCCTTCTTCAATGATTCCAAGTGTTTTCAGAATGAAAAACAAACAAGAATAGGAACCAACAGGCATTTATTTAGAGCCATCTTTTCTCTCCCTTAACTTATTCATCTCCAGTCACAGGGGCCTTCTTTGTTTTGTTTTGTTTTCATGGTAATGAAGATTGAACCCAAGGGTGGTGTACCACAAAGACACAGACCTCTGGAGCTTTTTTTTTTTTTTTTGAGACACCGCCAAAATTCCTAAGTCTGGTTTTGAACTTGAGATCCTCCAGTCTTAGCCTCTAGAGTAGATGAGATTACAGGGTACACCACCATGCCTGGTCTCTGTTTCTTTGTTTCATTTTATTTTCTCTTGCAACAAGGCCTATAGTACAAACTATTCCCTGTACATCCCCCACCCCTTTTTTTGCTGTGCTAGGAATTGAACTCAGAGCCTCACACATGCTAGGCAAATGCTTTATTACTGAATAAAATCAACCTGAACTAGAACATCCCCAGTCCCCATCTTCCCATTTTTTTTTTGCCTAATTAGCTCTTACTTACCTGCAGGTTTGTTTGTTTTAAAGTACTAGAGATTGAATTCACAGGCACTCTACTACTGAGCTATATCCCCAGCTCTTTTTTATTTTGTAGCAGGGTCTTGATAAATTCTCAATGCTTGAAGTTGCAATCCTCCTGCTTTAGTCTTCTAAATTCCTGGGATTACAGGTAAGTGCCACTGACCCAACCCAGAAGTATTTTTTGATGATTTGTAGTAGCAAAGTTAGTTTTAACAAAGTTAAAAATCTCAAGATACAAATGAACTTCAAATGTTTAATATCCATTTATGGAAAACCAGAAAAAGAAATTTAGGATATAATGTCAAGTAAAAAAAAAACAAAATTGCATGTATGGAATTGTTTTTTTAAAAAGTTGTCTACATATTTATGTACATACAACAACTGAAATATACATAAAATGTTAATAGTTTATTCATCTGATTATATCAAGTATCTTTTAAGGTGAATACTTACTTCACAACTTTGCCATACTTGGAAAATATCTGAAACAAAAGATCACATAAAAATTTATAATTTAAAATCATAAACACTGAATTTTCAGGTTGTAAACGATAACTAAATTCTTTGTTATGGTTTATAAAGAAATTTTAGCCTTCCATCTATAAAACAGGTTCTACAAGAAATATTTTCTATGTGACCAGAAAAAATTTTTTTATATTTATTTTTTAATTGTAGTTGGACACAATACCTTTATTTTATTTGTTTTATGTGGTGCTGAGGATGGAATCCAGGGCCTTGTGTAGGCGAATGCTCTACTAGCTGAGCCACTATCCCAGCCCCCAGAACAAAATTCTTATTGTCATTGGAATCACATGTATCTGCCTCTGTTCCTGAATTTCTGATAATAGAGAGAAAAAAAACACTTATCTGGGCACAGTGGCACATACCTGTAACACCAGCTATAGGTGAGGTTAAGGCAAGAGGACCACAAATTTGAGGTCAGGCTTAGCAACTTAGCAAGAACTTAACAATAACCTTTCTCAAAATAAAAAATAAAAAGGGGGCTGGGGTCGTGGCTATGGGGTGGAGCGCTTGCCTGGCACCTGTGGGTGCCTCAGCACCACATAAAAACAAATAAAAGAAAAATAAAGGTATTGTGTCCAACTACAGCTAAAAAATAAAAATAAAAAAACCCAAACAAATAGCTGGAGGGGTAGGTAGTGGTAGAGTATCCCTGGATTCAATCCCCAGTATGGCAAAACAAAGAGACACTTTACATGTGTGATAGATCTAAGGCAGGTACACCAGATGGCTGCTGTTTTCTTATGGTATATTCTTGGCACGTATCAACTCCACCATAGCTTCAGCTAAACCAAATATAAATGTTGTGGAATATCACTTTTTGTATTCTACACCTACAGTCTAAGCAATAACTGTTTAAGAAGTCAGTCGTTAGACTGCTTATAAAAACAAAAACTTCAACAATGAAAAATCCATTTCCATAGATCTCCATCCTCTGTCCATCATTAATATGTAGTACTTTATAGTTGGCCCTTTCTTCCCTTTTAGTTCTATATCTTCAGCTAGTACCTGTAAACTTGTAAGTACTCTCTTCCCCTTTATCAGTACTGGAACTGAACCCAGATCCCTGTGCATGCTAGCCAAATGTTCTACCACTGAACTCTATTCACAGTCCTTATTTTATTTTGAGATGGTGCTTCACTAAGTTGCTTAGGTTGGTCTCAAACTTGCAATCCTCCTACTTCAGTCTCCTGAGTGGCTGGGATTTTAGGCAGGTTCCATCACACCCAGCTAATTCCTACTTCTTACACAATGGGCTGGGGATGTAGCTCAGTGGCACAGTATTTGCCTAGCATGTGTGAGGTCATATGTAAGGCTCCCAGTTCAACCCTCAGCACTGCAAACAAACTAAAAAACCACTTATATAATGTATTTTAGAAAACAATTTTAGAATATGTTAATACATGCTGTTGAGAGTCACAGTTTAGTCGGAATGATGCCTGGCATTTTGCCAGAGGGTATGGTTGAAAGGTGACCCTGTTCTGGAAAAGGGCAGCTCTGGGATTAGGGTGGATCTTGCTGGGAATAGGGTGGCTCAGGGATTAGGGCGGATCCTGCTGCCTACTTTGGAGTTCCCATTGTTTCCCAGAGAATTGGTGTGCAGAGCCTGGTGGAGGGAGTGTGTTCCCAGGAAGTGTGTGTAGAGTGCCGGTGAGAGTTGGGGAATAAAGAGTTGTTGTTTGAACCTACAAGGCTGTGTGGCGGCTCGGTTATTTTGTGCCCAGCCAGACTGCGACAACATGCAACCAATAATTATGAAATTTTGAGTTCTATGATTAGTTCAGTAATGCTGCAATGCAGTGTAACTGGATTCCAGTGTTAGCAACATCAGATTCTGAGGCCAGTACACTTTTCTATATAACATTTTTTAATACTTTCTAATTTCACTCAGATTGAAAGCTGGGCTCTTTAGAATAATCTGTATAGGCCCTATAAGGCATCCCTAGAATGGGTTTACATCTGATTACCCTTCCTCTTTTGAAATACTTTTCTCCTAGACATCTGCCTCTTAATTGCTTCAGTGTTTTATTTGAAAGTTACCTTTTCAATAAGGGTATTCTAACCACCCTATCTAAAATTTCACTTTCATTACCAACTTAACATTTAATAGCCCTCCTTCCCTGTCTTTTCTCCTTAGCAACCAACATTTTAACATCTCCCTTAGTATCTAACTTTTTCATATTGCAGTCTGTTTTTCTTGTTATCCTGAATCATGAATTCAAGTCTTTTTGTTCACCGATATGTCTCTATTACAACCTTTAAGAGTACTCAGCACATATTAAGCATTCAACACACTGTCCATTTTGTTATAGAGAAGCTAAAGCTAATTTTCCCTATGTTCTTTGAAACTCAAGCTATCTTAATTAATTAAGTACCATGAATCACATATGTAGCATCTCTGTACTGAACATTTACCCAAAGTAGTAAAGAAAATAGGGCACACTTGAAGAAAGGATTCACATCCTTCCTTTCAATTCCTCTCAACCACCCATGTGCAGGAAAAATAAAGTGGGAAACTTTGTTCTCTATAAGGTAAAGAAGTGAAAGAATATACTAGAAGGGATATTTCCCCCCATCTCAATCACCCTTATTCTGAACTGAAAACCACATGTATTAAACTGTTAAACATTCTGCTTATATGTGAATGTTGTAAATACTCACAAAACCTGAAAGTTAGGAAAGGGATATTTGCTCTTATCAGTCCTTTACTCCAAAACCTCATCTCCATTACCAGTTAGTTTCAAAAGCCAAGTAAGCAAGCAATAAAAACTGGCCTATCACAAACTGCTCCTGCTTTGTAATGCTATTTTATCTTCTGTTTATAAAAAACTCATTGTTTTCTAAAAAAGCATAGTAAATTCTCTTTGGAAATGATAACTAATTTTATTCATATTTTCAATAGAGGTCTTTGGTATTAATGGTTTAAATGCATTATAATGTTCTAATTAAGAATTTTGTAAGAGAAGCTGGGTGCAGTGGCACAGGACTGTAATCCCAGTGGCTGGGAAGACTGAGGCAGGAGGATCAAAAGTTCAAAGCCAGCCTCAGCAATTTAGCAGGGCCCTAAATGAAAAACCAGCCTCTATCTCAGAGCAAAGCCTTTCCAAGGAAGGGACATGCCTTTGTCCTTGGAAAAACCCACAGAGCACTCATAGGCACATTCCCACCCTGCTAAGTTGTTTATGTACAGGAGAGATCTGCGGATCCAGGTGTCCCTGACTCAGTCAGGCTAGGTGGGGATCCATAGCAGCCCCCTAGCAGCCACCAATCAGCATGAGACAGGGAAATACCTGGGATGCCAGATGACCCTCCCAGTATTTTATGGTAGTTGATAACAAGTTGGGAAACCATGTAGTTCAGCACATATACCCCTCTTGGCTTAAACCAATCAGTTCAAATGAATACCCCTTTTGTACTAACCAATCACCCTTACCCAACTTGTTCCTGCCAGTGAAGGTGCTAATTATGTTTTAGAATTGTTATTTGATTTTCCCGTGATGTGTGATGATTTGCTATGATGTATGTGAAGTCCCTGCCCTCTCCAAAGAATGTATAAAACTACTGCAAACCCTGGGCTCGGGGCCTCTCAGTGTCACCAGTTGCTGTGTGTGTGCACAGAGGACTGAGCTAGCTCACAATAAACACCTCTTTGCTGCTTACATCGATCTTGGGTCTCTGGTGGTCTTTGGGGGTCCCGAATTCGAGCATAACATAAGCAACTCAGTGAGACCCTGTCTCTAAATAAAACACAAAAAAGGGCTGGGGATGTGACTTAGTGGTTAAGTGCCTGAGTTCAATCCCCAGTACCAAAACATATATAAGTAGATAAATAAAAAGATTTTTGTCAGAACTATTTGCTTAAAAGTACATCTGTATCTCAAATAGACAATTCAGTAGATAAATGCACTAATACTAAAACTTACCCGATATAAATCGTTGTTTGTCAGGGAGAAGGGCAAGTTGGATACATACACTGTGCTCTTACTTGGAGCTAAGCCACCACTCATTTCTAAAAAAGGAAAAAAAAAAAAAGCAACCTATAAGCAATGTAAACCAGGCATTCCTCATTCCAAGTAAAACCAAGTGTTGGCCACCACTAATTTAATTTACATGCCTTTCTTACAAATGTAAAAAGTGAGAGTCAGTGAGTCCAGCTGGGTGAATTAAGGAATTCATTTTCCCCAGCCACCACTTAAAGAGTTTTTAATATGGTCCTTCTTTCAAGTAAATTCTTTAATCTTTTATTTAGTGCTGGACTGTGTATGAGAGGATGGCTTTCCAAAAGATGAAAGCAAAACCTTGAGATTACTTTTTACTTCCCCTTAGGATAAAAGCAAGAAAGTACTTTCAAATAGGTAGTATACCTTGCCATTCACCTCAGAGAGTCTGGTGGCTCATAGAGAACCACTGCCACTAATTTTTTTTTGGTAATACTTTGGGTACTTTTGGGAGGTTGTATTCATATGAAGAGGAAATGTTAGGCTCACTTTTTGACAATGTAAAATTATTTTTAACGCTTAATTTTGCACTTTGTTGACAAATTATGAATTACAGCATTTTATGAGAGCTTCCAAGGTATAGTGTTTTACATATACAAGTTATGTTTAAGGTTACAAATATAACCTCTAATTAAGTTTCACAACTTATTTTACAAAGTAAGCAAATTACCCATAAAAATTATTTCGGGTTTAACCAATTTTTTTCTTTAATTCTTTCTTTTTGGTATGGGGGATTGAACCCAGATCCTCAAGCTAAATTCACATTTTTGCACATGAAATCCATGTGTGCCATGTATTTGAGTTAACAGTATGAACTATCACAAACAGCAAAATACTGATTCTAATTTATGTCAATTTGCAAAGTATTGGAAAATTTGCTTATACTAGGTGTTTGGGGGAGAATTATTTAGAAAACTTTAGAAACTCAACATCAACAAGTCGCTTTTAAAAGTTCCTCATTTGAGCCCATTCATACGTTAGACATTCTGGTAAGAAACTCGAGGCAGGCAAAGGTTGATGTTCAGCACTAAAACGGCGAAGGCGGGAGAGGTGGCAAATCGTTTTGGCTACCGGGTAGGAGGAAAAGGCCGCAAGTGAGGAGGCGTTTACCTTCAGGTGGGGCGAGCCCGGGAGACCAGAGGACCACCAGCCTCGGCTCGGCTGGGGCTCAACCCCGACTTTTCCTCGCCGCGGGCAGCGGATTTGGCATCACCTGTTCCTGCAGGGGTCAGAGGAAAATACCGGGCGGTAGGGCCACCCGTACCCCTTCCCGGTTCGCCTTAGACCCGGGCCCCGGAGGCGGGCCAGAAGGCGCGCGTCAGTGATGTCACAGCGCGCGCCGGAAGTGCTTCCTTAGGATAGCGGCGGCGAGCGGACGGCTACGTTCGCGGTGTCTCCCGGCGGCCCAGAGTAGGTGAGCGCATTTTACTTTTGCTAGAGGTGACGGGACACGTGAGCTGGCAGCTACGCCTCGGGGGAGCTGGCGGGTGGTTCCCGCTGAGGAACCTGGAGTCTCCTGCTGCATTTCAGTCGTGCAACAGTTCTGCCCTTGCGATTGAGGGTGGAGAGACGCAGTGGATTTTGGAATAAAGGAAAGTATCGAGTCTAAGTTAGGTATTCGCTTCTCTTTAGTATTCTAATATGCAAAAAGAGTACTGAGCTAGGTGACCTAAGTGACTAAACAAACATCAGTTAAGAAATCGGCAATTTTATTGAATGTGTTCGACGTACTCACCTCGGTTTTAGGCACTTTAGGAAATAACAACAACAAAAAAATTGCAAACCAGGCCTTTTTTTTTTTTTTTTTTTTTTTGTTCCCTCGTGGCGGTGATTTCAGTGTAGTCGGGGAGACAAGGCCAACTCTGGGAAAGTTGGATTCACAGAATGACTAATCTTGATTGGTATGTTGAACTTCTTGGCCCCTCCCCCCTGCCTCCCCCCCTCGCCCTCCCGATCTGTAATGGGCACGAACAGCTTTTTCTCTAAGAGGTCGTAACGGGCCCATCATTCCTACTGACAAAATCAAAATAATGCAAGGTAGTTTATACTTAACTTCTACCCACCAGCACATACAGATCAGGCCTCTAACTACTCCCTGGGAGCCTGCGTGCCAGCAGCTTGGAACCCACAGCCTGTCCTGGAGCCTGCACAGTCCATCCAGACTGAAGCTGATGTCTTCTGGAGAGACGGAAGTGCAATCCATCCAGGGCGCAGCTGAATTTTGCGAGGCCTGAATGCCTCGGCGTCCACCAAAGGACCGCTGGTACTAATTCTCTTGGCAAACTGTGGCCAGCCAAACCTATCATGCTTCACATCCCAGTTATCCTTGGTTATCGCCCAAGATGTAAGCCCCTTTGGTATTCTATGCTATAATCCCTTATCTTCTGCTGCTTTGTGTTTCTTTTCCCGTGATTTAGACTGTCACTGCTCTTGGTTTTCTTAAGCATCTAACCCCTCAGCACCCATCCTGTGCTCTCTCAAACCTTTTTTCTGCTTTTGCTCATTTACATATTCAGCCTTTTTACTGAGGTTGTTTCATTTCCTGACCTTTATTAACACGTGGTTTTTCCTACTAATCATTTCAATTGAGTCCTTTCTTTGATAACATTGAAAGTTGGCAGTGACTCTTGCCATATTGAACTAATTTCATTACCTCAAAATACTTTTTTATCTCCTCAGTGTCTTTGGAAAGGCTCTTTTCTCTATTTGGACAATTGGTTTCCCTGTCCCCACCTACCTCTTTCTGGATAACTCCTATTCTTGCTGTCACTTTATTTGAGGGCGTTTCCTAACTTCTTAGAGTTAATTTTCTTTACCTTCCTTAAATGCTCTCTGCTTAGCTTTTAGAGCTTATCACATGTATTCTAAATGTTTCTCTATTTGCCTATCTGCTAAGCTAGGCTGTGAAGGAGAGACTGTGCTTGTTTTCATTTTTGTAATTTCAATATCTAATACAGTTACTGGTGCATAATAGGCAGTCAGGTAGTTCTTGAATGATTGTAGATGCTGAAGGTATGGTTTCAATGGTCAAGGCACTTAAAATTAATATGTAAAGAACTTGGGGGAGAGCTGGGTATGTGGCTCAAGCGGTAGTGCGCTCGCCTGGCATGCGTGCGGCCCGGGTTCGATCCTCAGCACCACATACCAACAAAGATGTTGTGTCCGCCGAGAACTAAAAAAAAATAAATAAATATTAAAAAAATTCTCTCTCTCTCTCTCTCTCTCTCTCACTCTCTCTCCTCTCTCACTCTCTCTTAAAAAAAAAAAAAGAAAAGAACCTGGGGGAAGGAATCAACTGCTATTCAGTTAATTGTGACTTATAGATAATTGTGACTTGTAAGAATATGATCCTAGTGTTGTCAGAACATTTAATCTGTTCAAGGAATGTTGGGAAAAATGTGGTTTTTTTTTTTGAAAACACTACTCTCAAATTTTTATAAAATATTTTCTTACTTGTAGATGGACACAATACCTTTATTTGATTTTATTTATTTTTAATGTGGTGCCAGGGATCAAACCCAGTGCCTCATGTATTCTAGGCAAGCATTCTGCCACCAAGCCACAACCCCCCGGCCCTATTTCTAAGTTTTTTAATAATATTGTTAATGGAATAAAATCTTGGTTTAAAACAAACAAACAACAACAACAAAAAAAACCACAAGCCAGATAAAGTCACAGGTGACTTGTCATTCATCAGTTTGGAATCTGTATTAAGTGCTGTAAATTTTAGATAATGGATTTTGTAGAGAATAGCAGATTGTGAATTAGGCCTTGAGGTATGGTTGGAAGTTGAATGATAGAATGGAAGAAGGTGTTTTGGTTTGGAAAATAACTCAATTATAGTATAGAATATCCTATTTTGTGTCACAGGAGAATGGCATGAATAATGCTTTTGGGGAAGAGTAGGAGATGGTAGAAGTAGGCATTTGAAAGACAGGAATTTGGATTTATTAGGCTTAATTAATAAGAAACTATTTGGATTCTTAAGGATAGCATAAATTGCTGGGTTTGATAACACATCACCCGTAATCCCAGTGACTTGGGAGGTTGAGGCAGAAGTATGAAAAGTTCAAGGCCACACTAGGAAACTGAGATCTGTTTTTTACTGGGAATGTAGTTCAGTGGTAGAGTACTACTGGGTTCAATCCCCAGTTTAAAAAGAGAAAGAAAGAAAAAAAAAGGAAAGCACACATTAAGAATACATATTAATAGTTAAGTTTTTTTTCTTTTTTTTTTTTTAGGTAAAATGGAAGGTAAAATACTGAAAGGAGGCTGACCAAATAGCCTTTAACTTCATCTAGGTGTGAAGTAAGATGTGAAATAAGGTTTAGATTTATAAATATTATACTTAGGCAGACATCTGGCATTTTTGTCTACTTGTGTAATTTCATTTATCATAGTGGACAGTCACAAATCTAAGTTAATTAATGAAATACAGTCACAAATCTAAGTTAATGAAATAAAAAAGTTTTTTTTAAACTAAATGCATTTTTAAACTTACACATTAAAAATATAAAAATTTTTTGTATTGGGAGTACCATGTTATGTTTTGATACATGTATATGTTGTTATGTTTAAATCTAGCTAAACATTTATCTCCTCAAACAATTATCATTTCTTTATGGTAAAAATTTTCAGAATTCTTTCTTCTAGCTTTCTGAAATGTATAGTCTACTATTGTTTTCTGTAGGCACACCAGAACTTCTTGCTCCTGTGTAACTATAACTTAGTATCCATCTATCAACCTTTACCCTCCCATCCTTCTCTCTCCATTCCTCCTCCCCAGCCTCTGTAATGACCATTCTATTCTGAACTAAAAGTTTTAATTTTTTCCTGTTGCTGGGAATTCAACTTAGGGTTTGGACATGCTAGGCAAGCTACATCTCCAGTCCTTTTTATTTATAATTTTGAGACAGGGTCTCATTAAATTACCCAGGCCTATCTCTAATTTATGATACTCTTGCCTTAAAACTCCCAAATAGCTGGGATTACAGGCATGTGCCACCATGCT